GAATTGCTTAATTCTTTTTCTTGCCTCTCATGTATGTAGGAGTAATGTGAAAGCAAATGGTAATAAAGTTTTTAGAATTCTTGTTCATATTTTTATATTATTTTTATGAGCTTTACAGCATTCATGAAGAAATGGTGGTTTAACGCTGAGACTTGTGTGCCATTCATTGTTATTCAGCATTATACACTTCTCTGCATAATATAAAGAAACATGACAGTGTTAACTTACTAAATCTTAACTGACCCATAGTTTGTGTTTCTGTTTGATTATTCACATATGAACAAAGAGTACTAGGCATATATAGAAGTGTTGCAATAATGCAATCAGACCAAAGCTATTATGTGCAATTATTGTAGTAAGATGCAAAATAGAGGATTAGCTCTAAAAATTGTATGGAGCATAGTGAACAAGGTTGCATAGATCTTAGGTTTCAATGCTCTGTGTTTTTATACCATTTATCATCAAACAATGAGAAGGGATGTCTGAGTTTCCATGTTGTTCCATTTCTCAAGTACGGTCAAACACAAGTAGGGTAGTAAAGGCAGTCTCACAACTTGAATAATGATAGTTCTTTCATATCCAGCTGAAAGTATCTTTATATTGCATTTATTTCAGGATTATTAACTGTAATAACAAAAGGTGCTTATATTACTAGCCTTTATAGTTCTGAATTCAGGTACAAAAGACATGGTATGCAGAATAGATACAGCAACATGAATGCTGTTGCTCTGAGAAAGGCAGTAGTTGTTGGTTTGGTTAGTATGGTTTATTTCAGCAATAATGTACTGCATAACAGATTGAGACCAAATAATCAATCAGAGATGAAGTACCAAATTTGGAAATAGAACTATTGTTCCTATTTGGAGAATGTTTAAGTCCAAGAGACAAATCCCTGAACTGGTCTATTCATATGTCTTCTCCCCGCAGGAGCTCCTTAGTTGTCTGCTAGATTCAGTAATTGTATCAAGAATTTCAGCAGTTCAAAGGTGTCCCTTCATTTCTGTGTAACAACTAAAATGCATCTATGTGCTGGGATGCCAAATTCCCTCATGTACTTGGATGGGATTTCTGAACCTGAGTGATCTGCCATCTGCTCATGGTGGTGAGTCCCACCAAGATAAAAGTGGTGCCCAGACTCTACAAGTGGGTCCTCAGAGCGGCTCTGATACCTGCTTCGGATCCCAGTGCTCCAGCTCTGGTGCTCCAAGGCCAGTCTGATGGGTTTTCAGTGCTTGCTGCTGTCACAAATTGCTGGGCTGTGTGTCCAAGAGACACGGCCTTCTTGAAAAAGACCTTAGAGGATGCTGAGCTTAAGGTTGCACTTACCACATCATTTAGCGTGACCCCATCTGCAGGACGCAGTCTTGAAAAAAAATCCAGAGAGTAATGCGAGAGGTGATGCAGGCCCCATCGCAGCTAAGAATGGAGCCTGTCTGCGTGAGAAAATCTACCACAGCTATTGGGTACCTCCACAGCGCTCTTCACCAAGTCAAAAGCCCTCCTGCCATCCACTCCATGACACTGTTTCTGCTTCTGACTTTGATAAGTGGTCTCACAGTTGGCCCCTGCTGTTTGCAATCCTGAGTCCTGGCACTTCTGTAAGCTGGGGTGACCTACGAGATGTCCAAAACTCACTGCCAACTCGGAGACGGCCTTATGCCTGTCGCGCTGGACTGCTTACCTGAGCCGAAAGAGGCTGGTCCCTCTCTTGCTTCACTCCAGGTTTTCCGAGTTTTGTTTTCTTGGGTCTCCCCCTGCCCTGAAAAAGAAGTTCTGCTGTTCTCACAGTTACACTGAAACTGTAAAGTGGATGTTGGAAGTAACTGTTAAAGCACCCGGGTCTACAGTGGAAATGCAGACTGTTTTCAGCAGTCTCATGGGCCAGCCGTCAGTGTGGGATGACTTGTTCATTTACCCAAAAATGTTTTATGGTGGCTGCTGCTTGGCTGTGAGTCTAGGAGAGTTTTGTGCATTTGAGGGTTGATTTTTCCTATTCTTTGCTTCTCTTCTCTCTCTCTCTCTCTATATATATATTTTCTTTTTTAGAGGTAGTATATTACTAAAATATTGATTTGTCCTATGTTTTTCTCTAGTGTGGTCTCTGAAACATAACTCAACTAGGAAATAAATTTGTCCATGTTCTCTCAGCTCTGCATCCTTTCACCTTAGCCACCTTATTACACTTCTCGAGTTAAGGGGCATTTTTATTTTTGTATCAATGGGACCAGATCTTTCAGATGCTTTCTCAAGCTGGTGTCAGAGTGGGCAGATCTACGGAAGGAAGCACTTCCATGCTATGACTGCCCACGTGGGCAGGGGGTGCATAGGAATGCAGACCTTGTAGGTGGGACCTCCTTTCATCTATGGGCACCCTCCACTCTCTGCTGGGCTCCTGCCCCCGGTGCTGTGTGTGCACTGCAGGCCTCCGGGTCTGCAGTGTGTGGAGGCCTCTGTGGTGTGTGAGATGTTGGCGTGAAGGGCTCTGGGATTTGCCTAACTGCCGGTGGTGTTGTCTTGGTAATTGTGCTTTGGAAACACTCGCTTTGGGAAATCCAAGAGGGGTCTCAAATGAGAGAAGGGAGAGAGCTGCCTTAGCAGCAGCTTGGCCCATATCCATTTGCTTTCGCTGTCCCTTTAGATGGCATGATATTATGACAGTTAAGGAAAACAGAGTTTAAACATGTGCTCTGCAGATGCGGTTTAGTCAAAAGTACCGCAAGTTTTTGCATGCCTGAATCTATATATACATATATATATAGTATGTTTATTTAAAATGAGAATGAATGTATAGACTATGCATATGGTAATTAACCATTAAGCAAGCCATAATTAATATTCATTATTAATATGGGATTATGGAATTATGTATTAAGCACATTCTTTGATTTGAAAAATTCCTTGATTTGAAAAATACCTGCTAATACTGCAAAAACACAGTAGGCAACATCTTGAGCATTTTGCTAGTGCTAGTTTTGGCTTTCAGCTGTTACGGTACTAAGGACAGAGGAGTTGTATCTAAAGACTGAAAGTATTTCATAAAATTGCAGGGTCATTGCTGCTATTGGTATATATTTTTCAAATAATCAAACTATACTGATGAGTTTCAGATATAAATTTGTCCACTATGTCATCATGTCATTTTCATTAGTTATATTTGGAACAGGTAGTCATAACATTTAAAGACAATGAAGAATTAAAAAAAAAAAGTTTAACTCCGACAGCCTCAATTAAATTTTCTGATATATTAAAATAATATTCTATTTTTTTTGTTAGTTGGCTCATTCTGATTTTAATGTATTTTGTTTAATGTGGTTAACTTTTGCATAAAGTGATGCCGTTTTGTTATACTCTGTTATTCTGTCCAAAGCTGATTTGATTCAGAGCTTATCTAGGTAAAATTTTCAAATAGGCAAAGTCTGATGAGTTTGCTAAATGTATAAGATAATCATCTATTAATTATTGTTCATCTCCTTTTTTCACCTTCATAGTGGTAGCTGTTATTATACAAATGAGTAGGTGGAAAAAGAGTTGCAATATCGATATTGGAAATCTTGATTTGTAGATGGTAGATGAATGTAACTTTTCTTTTCCCAGAAGACAAGCTCAGAGGTACTTCACCTATTCTGCAGTGTCTGTTTTCTAGTCCTGTTTATACCTGTCTTATAGTGTTTGATAGCTTGTCCTGCCTGTTAGTGCAAACCCTCCCTTTTTGGGGAAAAAAACCCAAAAGATGTTACTGTTCAGATTATTTATAAAATGCTGCTGATTCTATCATTTTGCACTACTCTTAAAATATTTTTCCTTTAATTTACTTACAATTCTTTCATTTTTATTATGGCATCCAAGGATGCAGAACTTAAGATGCAAGCAAGGCACTCATCCAGGAGTTTCCTTCTGTTTTGAGTGCTCGTGGCTTCATTCTTAAATGTAAATCCATCAAGTGTTAGACACTGGAAGATAGTTCTCGGTGGAGATAGTTTCACTAGAGTCTCCAGCAGGGCTTCACAGCTAAATCAGTGCTCCCTGCCTATGCTCCTTTGAATTCTTTATCATTCGAGGATATAGTATTTTTAAAGCATGTCTGCCTTTGCTCCCGACACCATAAGGTTATGAGTGAGCGCATGTAGCTGAAATTTACTGCTAGAATGTTATTATCTGGCTGATAGCGCGGTAATGCCAAGTAATCTCTGAAAGGGTACAAAGATGTTTTGTTGACAGATTGACATATTTTCCAAGTGTCTGCAAAGCAGGTTGAAAAGCGCGCCATTATTTCCTGTGGAGATTTTGTCTAGGGGAATTACGTCTTGTCCCGTCCATTTTCTTTGTTCTTTGACATTTAGAGCTTGTCTTCATTAGAATTTACCTTGGGTTATAGTATTGTCTCAAAGGCACGTGATTACTGGTATTCTTAAATATGGCTTTATGATACACAAGGTTGAATGATTTTGTCATGTCATCGGTATAACCCTAAACCCTAATATAGTATCTTTGAACAGGGTGCAAGTAATGGAATACAAAATGCTACTGGCTTATATGTTGAGGAACATATGAGAGATAAAACCCTAATTGAAACAAAAAATACCGTTACACAATAATAATAACGTACGGCATAGGACCACAACTTAGAATGGTAATACAGTGTACAGATATTGTCAAGCCAGAATTCAAAGGTCAGTTCAGTCTTTGTCCTTCCAATTTAAACAGCATTTGTGTAAATGAAGCTGAGCAGACTGTTGTGAAAAGTGGAGTGCTGTTTGTTAAGATTTTAGTGTAGGTCTTGAGGCATGAAATTTATCACCACCCATGCAATTCCAGGGATATTTGAAGACATAGCTTAAAAGAAAACAGAAAAAAAAAACCAAAAACTACTTAGCCAATGCTTAGGTGAGGTTACATAAGCAGTAATAAAACGGCTACTTTTGTGCCTTGCCTATTAATTCTTCCTTGTGTAATCAGACAAGTAGGATATCAAGTGGGCAAGGCCTATCCTTGAAAGTCTTAGTTCTGCAGTGAAAATTTGATGTCATCTTAAGGCCGTCTGTTAAGTTGGATTTAAACAAGTTAGACGATGCTTTAGATATATAAACGGTTTTGTTGCATTGTGTAGAGACCATTATGTCACTGACATATTTTGACACCCAAAATGAGATGGGATAGTGTAAATATTTTAGATTGGAAATGTGTTCAGTGAGGGATTTAATAATGACCCACTTTTACATTTTATGAATAAGAAAGGCAAGGAAAAATATTTACTGAATTTCTCAGTGCAGCCTAGCTAGCTTGAACTTAGCTAGAGTGTAGAAGTGAGATGAATTTGCCTAAACAGTGGATGCTTCTGGGCACTGTCTGTGTTGCACCATAGTGGGTACAATTCCCCGCCTAGTCCTTGCTGTCACGTGGCAGCTCTGTGTAGATCTCGTGCATTGCTTAGGATGTGCCAAATGGCACTTGCACCCCTGCTTTAGTTACTTGAATCTTACCGTTTAGACTGACTGACTGACTTCTATCATTGTATGAGCAATACTGTGCATGAAAATCTTTCCAACAAGCCATTTGATTTCCTCTACGAATCTAAATCTGGAGAGGATTTAAAGATAAGCAAATATAATCAGATCCTTTGTCAGCTATCCTGGGAATACGAAAAGCAAGCTAGACTGAGAGAAGGAGGTGGGGGGCTTTCATGTGTGTATGTTCCTGAAGGCAGTTAGGTGACTGGAAAGAAAAGGACTAATAAATGGTATTTGAGTGCCCAGACGATGGTAGAGGAATGAAGTTGAAAGCAGAGATAGTGGGTACAGTGGGAAGAAGAGATGTGTGTTGTCTTTCCTTCTAGGCCTGCAGTTCTGCCCCAGCTTTCACGTGGCTTTGATTCGTCTGGATTCAAAGGCAGTTGGTTGTGACATGAGTGTGATCATCGTATGCAGTATTATTCTAAAGTTCTACTCAGTTAGTTGCTGATACTCTGCAATAATAGATATATTACTGTATTACAGATAGTAAATAATTTCTGTAAATGAATGGAAATGATGAGGCTTTCAAATATGTTAGGATGTGTGGAATACAAAGTATACCAAATTCTCAGAGATTCAAAGCAATGAAGCAAAAACATTGCATTTAAGTGGTTATATTGATGTGTTCTTCTGTTTAAAAAAAGATTGGATTCAATTTATGCAAGCCATAAATAATACTGGTTATAAAGTAATACTTCAATAAAAAATATTTTTCATCTTTTTGTTTTTCAGGGCAATTAAAGCATTTCAGGAGGCGCTTTATGTTGATCCCAGCTTTTGTCGAGCCAAGGAAATTCATTTGCGACTTGGGCTTATGTTCAAAGTAAACACAGACTATGAGTCTAGTTTAAAGGTAGGTTTGTGAAGTTTTACATTGAATTTAGCATTTATTCTAAGTTGTGTTGCATTTCAAAACTGCAAGGAATGTGCAAGTGTATACAAGTCAAATTTGACTTGTTTGGAAATAAAAAGAACTTCAGAATGAAGTATCTTAGCAAAGCAACAGAATAAGAATAGGGTTGGCGGTGTGTTGGGTCGGCACCTTCAGAAATTCAGAAAAACCTAACGAAATTACAGACTCTACTATGAGCAGAAGGAGATGGAGAATAGCTCTTCATAGGCGAAAACAGAAACGGTGCAATAAGGAAGCTAAGGAAGTACAGAAGGTCCATGTAAAAAAAGAAGACATAAATTAGCAGCTTGAATTTCCAGATGCTCTTTCTCTGTCTTCCAGATTCACTATTATCCACTGATAATTCATAACAATTTCTAAAAATAGAAAGCTTTTATGTAAAATGGTGTGTTTTCATCAAATTTATTTATTGTTTCTTCTTTTCTAGCAATTATTTTATTTATTTATTTATGTCCGGATTTGAGAGTCAGCTTGTTAAGATAGCAGTTTCTGTCTAACCAGTTAGAAATGGTTTTATTAATATGGTTTATGTCCATATAACATTTCTGCTCTCCCTCCACTCACTTCGATTCCTTATTCCATCCTCATTTTCTCTCCTTCTTTCTTCCTCATTCTGTATCATGGTCTCTAAATTTAGATATACATGTCTTGAGGGGGGGAAAAAAAGAGGCTTTCTCTAAAGGAGTTTCATGTGCGTTCAGCAGTCATTTTTCAAGTATGATTATTTTCAATGCATTTCTGCGTGTTAGGCTCTTCTAAAGCTGTTGAAAAATTTAGAATTTTAGATTTCAGGAATCTTGGAGAGTGGCTTCTTGTTTGTGGAAAATTCCTTTACTGGAGCTTGTATTTGAGAAGCAATTAAAATTACACTGACAGAGATAGAGTGTTAATTTCAACTCTTTTCAGTCTTTGTAGTATAGGCTAGTATTTCTCTTATCAGACTTTAGTTTTTTGTGCAGAGTGTTATGTGTCTTCCTCTGGAGGCAGATGAATTTGGAAAGTTTCTTATCAGACTTTAGTTTTTTGTGCAGTGTTATGTGTCTTCCTCCAGAGGCAGATGAATTTGGAAAGTCTGATAAGAAAGGATAACAGTGTGTAGGAATTAGGAAGGATTTGGTGCAATGAATAGCAAAAGAGAGGGAGGATTGCAGAGCTAGATCATCTTGTTGGGAGAGGGATTATGTGCAAGGTCAGATGGTCCTGTTTCCTTATATGTTTGGAATAGATGTTGTATTGACTTCTGTGATACATTGCAAATAAAAAGAGTACTGAGGAAATCTTTATTTATTACTTTAAATGGAATTTTAAGGGCAAAATAGAAGAATACATTTACAAAGAGATATGCAAGTTTTGTAATTGAGTGGTAGGAAGAGCTGCATTTCATTTTTTAACAGAAGATATTAATTGAGAGATAAACTCTTAATGCTGTGCCATAGAATACGTTATTTTGTCACTGAATCGAGTATTAAAAGAGCTGTGATGGGAATCCATTCTAAATCATTTACTCTGATCTTCACAGCTTTACAAAATAGGAAGATCACAGATTACAAGGATTTCTGGTGTACCCAATTTGTGTTTTTAATACACAAGTAGAACTGCAGAAAAAGCAGCAAAGATCTAAAAACATTTTAAAAAAGAGAGAAAGGAACTTTTTGTAATACAAAAGTATCATGCTTTCAAGTCCAAGGTGATTTAGTAATTTGGAAAAGCAAATACCAATAACAAAAACAACTGATCCTGGGGCAGAGCAAAGATCCCCAAAGGGATTATGAAATAACCGTGGAGTTGGGTTTGCCTTCAGGGTAGTTTCACGTTGTTCTTACGTGAATGCAACTTCAGGCTGTTGCCGACAGGAAGTCTCATTTTCCGCCTCCAGTGCTGATTGCAGTGTTCTGTACCCTGCTTTGCACTGGATTTAGTGACTGTCCATTTGCAGACCGAGGTGAATCAGAAGTGTGAACCAGCTCAACCTGGGATGGCATGACTGCTAGATCCAATGCAAAATACATGGCAGAGGATAGTGAATGGAAAAGAGGGGAGAGCTTATCCCCTTGTGATGCAAAAAAGTAAAACTGCACTCTGGAATTTGAAATTGAGACACCTGATTTACAGTTTCCTTTTAGCTTCCTTTGCTATGAAGACAGCAGTCTTTAAACAGAGAATCGGTTTCAAGCGGTGAGCAGAAAGAAGGAAAGAAACCTAGTAGGGTGATCTAGTGGATCTGCAGTAGTTTCTGCTGTTTGCATTGGGTATTTAATGCAGAGGTCTGACCCTGATTTACTTCATTCTAGATAGAAAGAAATGAGTAGGTACCAACTGAGAGGTAGAAATGTCAGCAGAATAAAAAGCCAATCTGATTCTTCTCTGAGAAGGTCTAAAAAAACTTCAGCCAAGACTCTGTGACACTGTAAGAGGCCAGTCAGAAAATAAATCTTTAGTGAAGAGAATAAAATGGCATGGTGGTGGTTATGTACAAGAGTGAGCAGTAAAAATGAGAAAGAGATGATGAAAGAGTGGGAAAGGCTGTTTCCTCAAAATGCCTTAACCAAGTGGGAAGGGAAGTTGGATTGACGTGACATGATACTGTTCGTAAAAGAAAGAGGAGTAACCACAAGTAATAAAAAGTCACAGTTGGCTTAATGTGCCCTATTTGTCCTTGTGGAGCTTGGTAAAAGAATTCAGGATTTGAGAGATGGTTGTGAGTTACCGAGTCCAGCTTGCTGAAGGCCGGCCTTGAAGACTAAGAGTTTTTTGGGGCCCTGTATTGTCATAACTCATGGACCGGTTTGAGCTTCCCTTTTGCCGCTGAGGCAGAAAATGGATATAATTTTCCATCTAACACTATTCTGTCTATCTTGTGTTTCACAAACTGCCCTCATGTTGCTTGAATGTACTTTGAAAAATTGTAATATTTTCGATAGTATTTAAACATTCATGTAACATCTTTGATGGCTAATAATAAACCACTGCCAACACATGAGTCAATAAGAATCGTGAGACAAATGGAGTAGGATGGGAGTCTGAAGGTCGTATCTTCCATGTTTTTTCACAATTATAGACCATTAACATAAATCGTCCATATTTTATGTAAGCAATTTAAGCAGTAAATTAATTTGTACTATTTTAAGATGTTGATGATCATGATAATTATTAGAGTGCTGTTGAACAAGCATAAAACAATCTCTTTAACATTTTTTCAAAAATCAATTACTTCTTTTGAATATTTTTAACATTGCTGCAGTTAAGATTAGCAAATTACTGTTACAGCTCATATCTATTCCAGTAGACTCCCTGTCATTTTCTTATACCCATGGACTTTAGCAAAACTCCAGGGTGTTGAAATTTTCTTGGTCTTTAGACTTGCATTAAGATGTGGGAGCAGAGGAGCAGCCTTTTTGGTGGAAAAGGAAATACTCCTGCCATGACCTGGCAGTTAGGGCGGTTAGGGTGATACATGAGGAGTAAACTTTCACCATTCATCAAAAAGGTGCAATTAATTCCAAAGACAAATGGTGATGTTTTTTGGGGGAAAAAACACTTTATTAACAGATTATTAGAGCAGAAAAATACTGTTAAGGTTTATCTCACAATCTTAACCATTCCCCACTTTATTACATGTCCTAGCTGCCCCCTTGCGAGGGGCTTGTAAAACCACGTTTGATTGTATTAGCTGTGGGGGTGTTGATGCCTTGATAATATGGAAGGACAATAAAAGCAAGATCTCTAAGAGCAGCATGCATCTTATTAGTCTGACTAGTGTAACTGGAAAAACTGTCCAGACTTTGAGCACAAACAGCCTTTTTTTCGGATATATGTTGCTGCCTTATCCTAGCCATTTTCCTATTTATCCAATAAATTTATTTCAATGTATGAGACTCTTTTTTTGCATGTGTCTGTCGGTTCCTGTATAAAGTATTTGTGAATCTTGACCAATTTTTAGCAAATAGGCCATAGTTAAAATGGTTTTAAAGAGAAGTTTCTGTAACATACACATTGCCCCAGAACCATTTATTTGCACTCCATGAGCTAAGAGCAAGGGGAGATCTGCTTGATTCGGTCAGCGGCGGAATACAGAATACAGACCGGGTCCCAGGAGTGGTTTGTAAGACAGGATGGATTCTCATCAAGGCAGCTGCCCCGTCAAGAGGCGCCTGGTTGCGCCTCGGGCAGCCCCGATGCCCCTTGTGCCTCAGGCAAGCTGAACACAGAGCTCGCTGGAGCTGTGTGTGTGGCATGGCAATAGTGAGGCTCAAAAGTGAAGCTGAGGAGCCAAGGACCCTTACAGCTCTAGTACTGTTTATTTGAAAAGTGGGGTTACATTGGAAGTCACATCTCTTGGAAAGCAGTCTGGTACTCGTTGTGTTCTGCTGTGCTGAAGTCGTCCTGAAAAGTTTCTGAGTGTAAGTCTCTGTACTATGGTATCTTCCTTTGTTTGCTGATAGATTACTTCCGGAACAAACATCTTAGTTTTTTATTAGAACAATTGGTAGCACTGAGGAATAATATGTGATAAAATGGTTTATTTTATTATTTTTTAATAGGTGGTCAGTAGGGGCCCTGGACATGAGCAGCTTATTCTGTAGCAAATCGTGTGTGTTGTGTTTTGGGAATCTTGTTTGTTTGTTCGTTTGCTTTTTAAGTACCTGAACAGCGACAGAACTTTTAGAAAACTCATAGCTAATTTCTTCTGTTTTCAAGTACCTACTTATCAATAGAAACATTGATACTGTCTTTCAGAAGTTCTGCCTCCTTATATATAAAGTAGCCATTTTAATAGTTTGCTTTAGGCACCTATGCTTTGCACTTTGCCATGCATTTAGATATAATTCTGGAGTTTTATACCTAAGCAGTGACAAAACCCTTGGAGGAACCAAAACTTGTATTCAGATATTTATCTATCTATAGAAACATCGATACCGTCTTTCACTTTCAGAAGCCCTCTTCTGAAATTTTCCCTTCATATCTCCTTATTTATATACAAGTAGTTATCCTAGCAGTTTGCTTTAGGCCTATGCTTTGATTATTGCTCATAAATTATGAATTTGATATATTTCTATTTTTTAAGTTATTTTCCTGAAGATTGTCCTTTGTTGGTTACATTAAGACATACTCCTTACATTAGAATGATAACAAAGACTCCTAAAGAATTAGTTTATCACTTCTTTTGGTCTTGGGAAAATATGCATGAATTAAATAATTACAAAACATAAAAAACAATCAAAAAACCCGCTACTACAGTACCTTAAAGTACCTATTTATAATCAGATGCTTTTCCATCACTTATCCAATTCTGTTGATTATACATGTATATCTATATTTATGAAGATATTTGTAGCTGCCTTGAGGTAATGTAAGTGAATGTGTAGTTGTTTAAACATATTCACTACTGAGAAAAAGAATATAAAGATTTTTTCAATTAAAACTACATTCATGAGAACGAAAGTTGTGGTTTTTCAAATTTTGTTTCACAGCCTAGTTTACTTCACAAATTCATTTTTAAGTTTGGACATGTTAATGAGAATTGAAATCTTCTGTATCCATTTTAATCATTAAAGAAAAAAATGAAATAGCTGAAGTATATATAATTTTGAAAAGCTTTGATTTTATAATCTTTCTATGTCTCACTTTATCTCCGTAACTGTATCAAAAACCATCCTTTGGGCTGTAATGTAAGAACAGCTGAATTGTGCTGTTGTGCAGACAACGATGCAACATACAGCCAAAGTCAGAGGTATTTTTAATTAGGGAAAAAAAAAAGGCAAAACAAACAGAACAGAGGACTTCAACTGTTGTAATGTGACTATTTGAGATATGTAACACTTCATCTAAAGTACATTTTGTGGAAAAGCTTTTTAAAAAAATGTAAGAGGATGGAAAACAGCTGAGAATTAAATTGCTCACTGAGGCCTTGCTGTTTGTATATGTGTACCATAGAAAGAAACATGCAGGAAATTAAAAGCAAACAAACAAACAAACCCCCCATTTTTTAATGCAGTATGATACTGTGTAATTAAATTGCACTAGAGTTACTAGTACAACTTGTTTTTACAGTAGACATCATGTCTGGTCTACAGGCTCTTACTTCGTTTTGCTTGTTTTCCCTTTTAGTCATTCTGCCATTTTCCAATGAAAGAAAAAACTTATTTTTTAAGTGTCATAATTGCCAAGGGGAGTAAAAACTAAAATTGGACCAAGATTCTGCCTGGTATTTTGGAGCGTTTGAAAGAAAAGAGCAAACCAACTAGGGAGCAATGGTTGACTGCAAGGCCCAGCGTTGAAGCACATTGGTTTGCATGCTGGTGCCCTAGTCTTTGAGAGGTCTCTGCAACAGCCACTTCCATTTGGAGGCTTGTGAGGCGCACGCGTGGCGCAGCATGGCCTCTCGCACATGCTCCACGCAAATCCACCTCAAAGGTCCGGTTAGCTGAGGTGAATCGGGAAGAGCCTGGGGCGAGGAGGCAGGAGCCAGGTGGGCCGCGCGTCCTCGCCAGCCCCTCGCCCGCCGGCCGCGCGCGCACGGCCCCCTTCCCCGCCAGTGGCGGGGACCCCAGCGCTGGGCTCAGCCCCGCGGGCCGGAGAAGCCCCCCCCAATGGCGTTTCCCTGATCACCATGGAGCCTGCTGCCCTTGTGGTGAGTCCCGGGGAGCTGTCGAGCTGGGGGTGAGGGCTCACGCGCTTCCTAAAGAAATGTCGGAGCGACCGTCGCTGGACTTGCTAGTGTCGTCCCAGAGAGGAGGCAGGTTTAGGGCCCCTGTTTGTGAAGCCTCAGGCTCTGATGTGAGCAGAACCATAATGGGACGCCTTGGGCTGAGATGTCAAGGTGACTTCTTGTGTTAGTCACTTATTCTTTAAATTAAATAAATGACAAAAATAGGCCTACTTGCTTTGTCCGTTTTAAAGGCTGTGTGAATTGAAAGAACTAATGTGTCAGGAGAATTGGTGTTTAAGTCTAGTGGTGAAAACAGGCTGTTTAGGTTTCTTAGGCCCGTGTCAGACTGCTTTTATTTTGCTGCTAAACTTCCTGCTCTCTGCTATGTTTGCATGCAACCCACTGTACTTCAGAGGCTTGGAAAGGGCACCTTAGAAATTGTTTCCGCAATCAGAGGCAAGTCAAGGACTCCAGAGGAGACAAAACAGGCTTCAGATAATTGTGCTGGTGCAGAGTGCTGCAAATCAAGGTATATTATGACTTCAGCTGCAGCTCTTGAGGAGAGGCTGTTACTTTTTAGCATTCAGCACACTGCCTTCTAGGTAAATCCTCTTACCCGGGATTTGAATTTCTATAGACCGCTGTCTGCCTTGAGGTATTGTGTGTCGGCTCTGAACTGCAGCGGCCTCTCCTGCATAATAACCATTTCACACAGCAGTAGCCAGCTTCAGTACCGCAATGTCTGCAAGAGGTGCAGATGTTGCTGGCTGCCTCTGATGCAGACCTGGGAGTCGGAAATTATTACTGTTTTTTTTCCTATTATTTTTTGGTGCTGATAATTTTGACTAGCGGACCGGCTTTGGGCTGATGAGTTTTATGTGCTAAGATGCATGCTTTTTTTTGGTCTGTTTTTGAATACTTGACAGGGAGCTATGTGTTATTTGGCTAGCTATAGGTGTAGGGTTGTTCATTTGTATGTGTGTTTGAAAATATCTGCTTGCCTTTTTTTTTTTTTTCCTGTGTTGTTTTGCCTTAATTGTTCAGTGCAAACAGGTTATTTTTCTGTAGTTTATTTATTAGCTCTGGATTTTTCATTGCTGTGCTATTTGTAGCTTAGTAAGCAATACAGTCAGGTATTTATTACATTGAAAGAAAATAATTGTGTGGATTTTGAGATGTGAATGTCAAGTGTTGTGGTAGTAGTAAGAATTTAAATTATTTTAGGAGGCATTGGTGAGAATATTTAAGCTTTTTTTACTGTGCAGCGCTGATGTTACTGGTATATTTAAATATGAAAATGGTTGGCTTTGTGTATGTAGTTGTCTACTTTCTCTCAGTGAGTTTCACTGTAATAACCTTTCCGGAATGCTGCTGCAGAACCATTATTAAGCATTTCTCTTTAGATCTGCTTATTTTGTATAATATCATTGCGAGGTGAGAGCAGATCTTTTCCTTTCTGCTTTATCTAGTCATATTAATTGTTAATGACAGAGCAAGGTGAGAGGTCCGGTGGAAGAAGGATTTGGAACAGTAAACTCGATATTTACAGGCCAGAATATGAAAGTCAGCACTCTTTTTTTTTTTTTTTTTTCTTGTTGGGAAAAATACTATATAAAGTAGATGGTTTTATTTTTATTCAGTCCTCTTTTTTTAAGTTGCCTGCTAAGCATTGCTATGGTAACAGACTAAAGGATGCCTCTGAGAAACACAACCTGCACTGCATTGTAAGTGAGGGGGAGGTCTTAAGCTCTGTCGTCGCTGCTGACCACTAGAAAAGGGAACAGACAAGGCAGAGAAATGAGCTAATATATTTATAAATGATTGTTTAATGTTTGATCTAAAGTTAGAAGTTATTTTATGAGTAATACACTTGTGAATTCTTTGTTTTCTGTGCTCTCTTTGGGAATGTTACTGCTAAAATGTGCGTTAAAATTTGTAAATTTGGATTGTATGCCTCAAACTGCTAATGGATATGAATAGTACTTTAATTTTGTAATATTTTTTCTCTAATATATGTTTATTTAGAAATTCAGTGGTCTATTAAACCCTTCTTGTAAGTTTTTGAGATGTCTGTTATGTGGAGATGCTATAAATAAGGTACTGTTCGGACCTTGAGTAAAGTTCTGTAGCATCTTTGTATGCAGCAGCTTTGCAGGTATCGAAGGGGCGCTGCGTGCATCGATCTTCTCCTCCTTCTCCTCCCCCCATATTAATAAGGGCGCCTGGTGCCGCCACTGGCATCTTGAGCAGAGGCAGGTTCCAAACTGCCATTTTGGTGCTAACAAGATAGGATATGCTAAGACACATCAGTAGCTTTGGGGAGTTAGGAGCCTTTGGGAACTATTTTGTTGAGACCTGTAATTATTAACTATTTATTCACTATTTTACTTACTGTCTCTTAAGTTCTAGTACTCCTAGAGTACTCCTAGAACTGCTAGAGTACTCTAGTACTCTAGGCCTGATACGCTATTGAATTAATATGCTAATCCAAGTTGTGTGCTGTATTGAAAAGGGCAGAGGCTCCTGAGCTTATTTGGCTGTTCTTTTTGACACAAGTCATTGCTTTTTCAAACTGAAAATATCTTCTTCTTCTTTTTTTCCCCCCAGCATTTTCAGTTAGCTTTGATCGACTGCAATCCCTGCACTTTGTCTAACGCTGAAAGTAAGTAGTTTACATGTGTTTTTGTCTTTTGTTTTTGGCCGATCGCCCAGTGGGATTATGGATTGTTCTAGTAAATGGAATAAGTAAAAACTAGAATTGTGGCAAATATTTACAGCTTTGTTTATTTGTTTATAAGTGCACTGTTTGTGCACTTGGCATGCATTTAGTAATCATTGCAAACAATAGCAATCACTTTAAAACTTTGGAATCTTGATAATCTCTTATTCTTCAGTGATTATTTTAATGCCAATTAAATTTAAATTTCTAAAATTCAACATCAATCTCTGTTTTGCAATTGAAATAAAAAATTAGGATATAATTTGATTCTTTATTTTGTTAATTGCTATCTATATACTAGTTTGTATTTAGATACATTAATCTTAGTGTAGTAGGATCTGCCATTTGCTGTATATGCCGAAGGCTGTTGCGGACCATTCTGTGAGTGTTTACTTGTGGCTAGGCCTCAGGGGAACTACATGCAAAAGTAAAGCTATATTCCTGCATATTCTGGAGACTAAGGTCTCCAGTTTCTTAAATAAAAAGAATTAAAAACTAGGCTGTTGTGAGGGAAGTTATTCCCTCACTTTTTATGGTACTTTCCACTGCATTTGGCATTGAGCTGAAGTTAACCTCATAAGAGTAACTTCAGAAGCATTAGATAAAAGTGTTTAAAAGCATTTTTCTACGTTTCCAGTTGAGGGTAGGTGGAATTGTCATTGTCCTATCACTAAGGATAAATAAAGTGAGAGGTTTTATGTATATGGGTAAAACTGCTGGCTACATCAGTATCGAGGAGCCAGCTGTGTTCTGAAGTCCTCTCCAAAGTTATGTCACTTGTCAGGAGCATCTGCAGGTAATTGTGTAAAGTCATTTGCAAAATACTTACTAAGTCAATATGCTTTTATTGTTTCTTACAAGACTTGATTCTTTATTGTATTTCATATTACTTCTGACTATTTTTTTTATCAATTTTTGTCATCTCTGCATTTTTGCAAGATTTTCCTCGCTCTTCCCTCCATTCTCCCCTCCTCCAGCTCTGTGCAGAGCCCCGCACGTGGAGCTTTGCTCCGTAGCCACGGGCGCAGTGCTGCCAACCCCAGCCCAGTGGATTAAGTGCTGTCACATAAAAGATGGAGACCATTTTAATCCCTTTGCATTTCTGAACTAGGCACAGTGGGCAACAGATTTACAGTGCCTCTCTTCCAAGCAGAATTTTTGGAGTACTCAGTATGTCTTCTTATTATTTAGGCAATTTCTTATGTGACATCTTTAATTTCTTTCCACTGTATGGCATGGCTTTCTTTTATAGCTCATCACTGAAGGGGTTTGCCACTGGGAAAAAAAAAAGATTTTTAGATAATGAACTCCCCAAAACAAAAGCAGAGGTTTTTCTTTCATCTGTGTGGAGTGATGAGGTGGTAAATATACTGGGTGTGTAATGTGCCCTTTAGCAAGGAATACAAAAAGTTTATTAAAATTTTAGATTGTGTGTTTCTTTAGGATCTGGTTTCTGAGGTGCCGTAAAGTACCTCCTTTATAGGAAAGGACAAAACATTTAACAAAGAAGTCTTTCAAAACATTTAACAAAGAGGTCTTTTCCCTTCCCTAGTGACACAGGGAGAGAACCTGGACCTCTGAAGTATCTGTATAAACTTCTGTGTTAGGGTGTGCAACAGCTCTGAGAGAAAGAAATTAGTATTTGAGTTGGCTTCTAATCAAGATTAAAAATAGCCTAGCTCAGAAACTGTTGTTTGCCTATTCACAGACCTCAAGGACTTCACTTAAGTCTGCATCAAAGGATTTTTCCCCCCTCTTCTTGAAATGAGAGTAAAGATGACATTCATCTCAAGGAGCTTTAGCCCTAGCACACAGCTGATCTTCCGAGCTGGCAGTTCTTAAACACTTCAGAACTTTTACTCTTTAATTTCCTTCTCCTTCCTGTAGCTGCACACATGTCTTCTCACATGTGTAGGCCTACTTTCTGACTGCATATTCTGATTTCCCTTTCCAAAAAATGTTCTTACTTCCACAAGTTAGCAAGGTTTGGTAGTGCTGCACATCTGTGTAATTAGTATGAGGTATTAGGACCTTCTGCAGCAATGGTCAGAATACCACCTGTAATTAACACTTCAAGTTTGTGTTTAACTGAGAAAAGAGAGTGTCCCCCCAAAAAGCAGGAAAAAGGGAAAGAAGATCTAAATTTAAACCCTGTGTAATACTTGTAGCGCCCAATGTATAGATTTCTGTTGTATAAGTCCCCTCTAACTCTATCCCTTGGCAATTGAAAGATTTTTTTATTTTTCTAGCTTGGTTATGTACAAAAAATGCTCTCTCTATTCTGTCTTCACACATCTTTGCAGAAAGAGATTGTATTGCAAAGTTTCCAAAAATTTTAGCGGACTCTTACTTTCAGAATACGAATAAAACCTGTAGACTTCTTTTTTTACAATATCTCTTTACAGTCTTAACACTTTGCTAGGATACATATTCATTTTCACAGAGTCACAGAATGGTTGAGGTTGGAGCGGACCTCTAGAGATCATCTGGTCCAACCAACTATTAAGCATAAAATACTGTTTTTTTTTTTTTTCATTTGTTTGTTTCTGAATGCGTCTCTTTGCTTTTGCAAAGTGTTATTTATCTTGGATTTGCATTGCTCAATTTGAAACATTCTTTTATTCTTGCTTGAAAAATTGTGTTGTCACTGCTGATGTCTGTTTACTATGATTAATAATTTTTATTTCCCATTCTTACAGTTCAGTTTCACATTGCCCACTTATATGAAATCCAGGTAAGCTCTGAGCGCATTTCCAAGACTGGTCATGTTTCTAACTGTGTGGTGTAGTCAGACTATGTAATTCAGCTGATTAGAGATGCTTTTGTGAGTGGAAGTTAGCCTTCAGTGTAGAATTGATAAGGAAGCTTGATTTATTATGGTTCAGTTCCAGATATCATGCATGTGGATTGTCATGCTCTTTGGGGAACTTACGGAACACTTACTGAGGGTCCAGGTTAAAAATTAAAACTAAGTAGCTACTGAAGAAACTATTATATGTTTGTAATTTGACTGATAGCGTATGATGTACACTGTACACTCTTCATCATGTTTATAAGTATAATGACTGAGGAAGAGATGTGACATGAAAACAAAAAATCTCTTAAATAAAACAGATGACAAATTCTACACTTTTCAGTCAATTGAAAAGCAGCAGATAAAGCAGCAGATAAAGTAAATGCTGTTTTTTGATGGTAACAAATAAAATGACAAATAAGTGAGTAGTTGTGCATATATAAATGGAAGTCATAAATTTGATGAACAAACTATTTTCTTTTGAGTGCCCTTGTTTTGAGTGCCATTTCAGTAAGCTGCAGACAGTAGCAAGACAAGAATTCCCCATCCCAAAACACCAGGACGAAACTTCATGGACTGTTGTGGTTCTGTAACACATTACAAAGACTTTTTATTTGGAGGCCATCCAGATTGCATCTTGAGAATTGGAGCACATCTGAGAAGTTCATATAACAAAGCATCCCTGACACGTTAGCTCTTTTGATCTACTAGAGTAAAATAGAAGGCTGAAAATACCAGGTCACCATGGCAGGTGCTTTATATAATTGCATGGTCAATGTCACTTTTGTTTAACCTAAGCTAAACGATATAATTGGCATTCGTAGGAATGGTGGCTTTATTTTAACACAAGTCAGGGGCAAAAAAGTTGAAGTGCATATTCTAGCAAGTCCTAGTTTGTCTTGCAGTTCTGGTTAAGGGCTGTGTGCTTTTCTGGGATTTGAGAAACTGAGATATCGGGTAGGCCGCAAAGGGTCTTAACTTGATTCTGAATCATGGCACAGTGAAGAGATGATTTTGTGGGGAGAGTTGGTTTCTTTTCAAGGACGCAGGGCTACCATTTCCTCTGTGTATCTGCTCTTGGCTATTGAAGTAAAAAATAAAATAATTCACTCTTCATTTATCTACCTTCCCAGTACTGAAGGTTAAACGATGGGTTTCCAGCCTCTGAACAACAGAGCACAGTGGTGCTAAGAGCTAGTGCTGTTTTTTCCAGGTGTTTAAAAACAGTTTCTTGTACTTGATCTGTGGCAGTGCCTGGCTCTGTAGCCTTTTAGGATACTAGTGTCTACAGTTTCAAAAGAAAGAGAGCTCTTAGAATTTTTTCCCCATTTCTAGGATCCTTTATACTGCAGTCGAGCACAAAGGGAAATGTATTCCCATCTTCGAAATTAAAATATCTAAATAAAAATATAAGCAAATGTTAGACATTTTTCTGCATTATTTGAAGGCAGATGTGTAGACGGATCTCTAAAGGGTAACTAATACAACAAAGAACAGAAGTAAAAATGGTTCTAGATCTGGAAAAAGTGCCTTAATCCAGCTGGTCGTTCTGAATCTCTCCCAGTACGTAAATGCCTTTCTCAAAGCAGGGATGTTAGGTGCTAGTACTTCCTATTTTACATCCAGATGGCTGTCCCTGCTCTCATGCTATGGTCTGAACTTGTGTTCAGGTGCTTGTCCTTCAGAGTCATTAACTATGGAGTTTGGTCCCAATGCTAAATTGAAAAAAAAAAATCCTGATTGTTTTTATTTTGCAAGACATGGATATTTTATTCATTTATACTCTTTGTTTTCTTACTAGTTGTCTGCATTTCATGAACACCAGTTTAAAACCTTTTCTACCAACTTCCCCTTGTTCCATTTCAAAGTATGTAATTGCTGCTTTAATTTTTCTTCCTGATTAGAATGAGGTTTTAAAATCAACACAGTTAACATTTGGGATTGTGGGATCCAAAGAACCTAATGTGTTTTTAACTTCTATTATTTATACTGATTACATTTTTCTTCCCAATTGTCCCCCTTAAAGTAACAGTAAACAGTACAATGTACTTTTGGTATAAATAAATGTCAGTAAATCGTGATCATTTGCTTTTAGGTGGCCCCATTTTTTTCAGTACACTTTTTATCTGTGTGTCAGAATGGGGTCTAAAAATTAAATTATCTGAAAGCATGTTTTGCTTGAAAAATGTGTAGAATTTTTAGAAACTCTCAAAAATATTTACTACTACTATCTCACCCTTTTCTTTGCATTCTGGACTTCTGGAAAAATAAGAATAGAAGAATTAGGTGTTTAAAATAGATTTATTGGTAAACAAATATTGTTAGAGTAATGTGAAGATAAACAAATTTGATCTTTTTCCAAAAAATCATCTATCAAGAATCCCCTACTATATACAGACCATCTCATACTGTTCCAGAAGTCAATACAGATCCTGATCCCAACCCAGAAAAGACGTATTTATGGATTTATAGTGAATGATCAAGTGAACATTTCCATACTTCAGGCACAGGCAGATTTAAAATAATAGGATAGCGTTTCTTCATTCTTTAGGCAAAGTCCATGATATATTTTCTGCATTGTGCTCCATATGATGGTCTTTTTACCAGGACAAATACTTCTTTAATTACAGAAAAGACAGTTCGAGTGCTGAAGACTTTTAAAAAGAAGGGGAAAGGCAAAAATGTTCTAGTCAGCAGTTATTAATAACTTTCATTTCTGTTTGGAAATTACTAGGCGTTTATGTGTAGGCTTTTTTTCAGATGTAGCCTCATGTTTGAGCATTCTCCTTAAAAGCAAAGTATTCATTTTAGTCTAAGAAGCATAATGCAAGTAAGAGAACTGACCAAATTTAATCACTTGCCAATTTCCCTTTATGTATTCAATTTATACTAAATACTATATTTCATTAAAGTTATTTACTAGCTTATATATACATTACTCATTAAAGCTTTCATATGCACTGTATGCAAAAAAAAAAGTTCTATTTTTTGTCAGTATGTTTGTGTGCTGTCAGTGCTGTGAAATCATTGCTATTGATGATCTATTGTAAGCTTTATGATTAATCCATTTACTTTTTTTCCTTTTGCAGAGAAAGTATCACTCTGCAAAGGAAGCTTATGAACAACTTTTGCAGATCGAAAACCTTCCTGCACAAGTAAAAGCAACTGTCTTACAGCAGTTAGGTATGTAAAATCAAGCTTTTTTAATTTCTGTGTATTCTTTTTCCATCTTTTTATTTATTTATTTATTAAGCTCCATTTCCGGTGTGAGTCATAGTTATTAAATATCATATATGAGATTTTCACTCACAATAGAATGTCTAACAGTAAATAGTTCAGTAAATAACAGAGGAGAAGAAGTTTTTAATTAAACTTAATGAATTTTAAAAGCGTTGGACATGATGTACAGAGTGTTGGTCGGTGGAAGGGGAGGTTTTTTTTTTTTTTTTTTTTTGTCTTTTTAGAGAAAAGGCAGCACTTAGAATTCTGTTTTCTCTTTTCTGCTTATCAAAACATCCCCCTGGATAGCTGGGCTAAATACAGGAAAACACATTTTTCTATTGTAGAGTAGAAGAAAACTGCATGTGAAAAATTTGCCTTTAATTTCTCGTAGCTGTAGTATTTAATGAAAATACACTTGTGACTAAAAAAATTATGGAGAGATTTTTATAAAATGAACCGCATAAAAAGAGAGAAAGTATTAGTTTTTAAATATATATATTTTCCATATTTATAGAACGTTGATGAATTATCCTTAATCCAAGATTTCCAGTGAGTAGGTAGAATATACTGCATTTCTCCCATATGCTTTATAAAAATGTTTCCAGAATATTTTCCTAAAAATTTTCAATCCAGTGTAAATTTCTTCATTCACTTTCATGTTTTCCAACTAATTTAATGCCTTAAATATTAATTTGGCCTCTTTATACACAACTTTCTTATCCTTCACAAAATGGCCACTGAATTCTCAGTAGTAACCGACAGTATGTTGTGGCCACAATGGTTTCTTCTTATATAATGCATGCTGTTTATGTATGTGAGTGAAGTGGACTCTTTTTTTTTTTGGCCACAAATGAACCTGCTGGAATTTAGACACTGATCTTTTTTGCTGTCCCATTACAATATTCCTTCCAATTTTCCATTTCAGTCTTCCCTTTGCTTTATATATATATATATATTATATATGAAATTATTATCCCCTCCAGTATAAATTCTCAGAGATTTTTTTCTCAAAAGTCTATACATATGATCAGTGAAAAGCAAATTTCCCAAAATGTCTGTATAGTGCTTTTCAACTCCATTTGATATACATTGCCACATGAGAAACAAAGGCAAAATTGTATTGATAAAACCATCCCACAGTTGTCTGTGCTAGCAGCATGAGCAGTAATTATGACAATTGTTTGCTTTATAAAGCTGGATGAAATTCTGCTCCTCGATTAGCTTAGATCACCAGGTTGCATTGGTGTGGATAGCATCTTTGTGGAGAAAGGGCCAGAATGGCCTTAACCAGGATACTGAGAGAATAATATAGTTATTCTTGCTCTTAACTGTTATTTATCACACATATAGACTTGAGTAGCTGGTACTAAAACACCTTCTCAGGAAGAGTAGCCTGGGTGGTACATTAATGCTTGGAAAAAATAATGGAGAAATGCTTATTATCAGCTAGAGTGCTAAAATATATATACATACATACATATATATATATATTTGTATTTCTGTGTTGATTTTTTTTTCTGCTTAAATAGAAAAAAATATGTTCTGGCATTAGAACTCCCTTTGTTGATATTCCTCGGCTATTTAATGTTTAGTAAGTGAACATTTAGATAATTTTAAATGTCTTGTGAGAGAATTATAAAAAGCATTGCTCTTGCTGCTGGTTTTCAAAGCAGTGAGATCACTGTGGAGGAGAACCTTGTGATTCTGAGAAACGCATGCAGGTGTTTGAGCATGCCAACTAGTTCCAATAGGAACAACAGGAAAATGTACACTTGGATAAATGCAGCTGGCTCCTGCTTTTTTTTCTCCCTTTTTTAACCCCCTCCATTTCCTGCTCTTTATGGGCTATAATTCTTTTCACCGTTTTATGTAAAATTGCAAGACAGACATACCAGAAGAAACTGAGGATCACTCTGTCTAAGTATTTTTCTCCGTTTGTGGTCAACAGTTGAATAGGGAAGAGCATGAGAGCAATGCAGACGGCTGCTTTGAGCTTCCCAAAACATTCCCTCAGTGCTTTTCAGCTAAGGGCTTCCTAGCTTGGTGTCCTTGCAATTGGGTGAGATATCATGAAATGCTGTCGTGGGGAGGAGGCTCCTCTCTTCATCTGTCATCTCTGCGCCGATGACATTTATCTAGGGAAGAGCAGTGGGAACAAGCTCAGCATGAGAGTGACTTAGCAGCTTGGATAAAAACAACTGCTGCGTGAGCGAGGCTCGCACGTCACCTGGCTGAGGAAACACAGGGATTGGTTACAAGTTAGATTGCAAAGCCCTGGAGAAGAACTTGGATTGTTTTGGAAGTATAGACAAATTCTCCAGTCTTGTTAATTAGAAATATTGCAAATGTCCCAAAAGTGGAAGAGTAGTTAGTATGCTACGTGAGAATAAGCAGTAGAAATGTTTAGTTTATTTATTCTACCTCAACCTCTCCCTTGCCTTCTGCGTTTTTCACCCCTGCATAGAGAGATAAAGTCAGGAGGCAACCCTTGTTTCAGCAGTGACCCTAGATTGGGATTGGTAGTTCTCATGTGTCTCTCCTGTTAGTGAATTATTGGTTCCAGGAAGTGCAGTAACGATCTCCTGAAGATGCAGCATGTTAGCTTTCAATCTGGCAAGCTTCTTATTAGGCACAAAATACGCATTGGAGCACAGCATTTCTAAGTTGTCTAATACTTTTTTTTTTTTTTACCCCTGCTTATAAACTCTAAAATATTGCCTTTCGCACATTCAGACTTGGCTTCGTATCTGTGCACTGATACGAGCAGAGCAGTGACACGTTTATGCTCACTATACAGCTATACAGGTCCATTCCGATAACCACCTTCACATAAGAATTTTTATTTTCTTGAAGATGTGAGTATCTTCTATATATTTATGGACTTCAGTGACTTGGGATTTCAGTCAGAATCATAGCTTGTTCATCAAGTTCATAAAAGTGAGTTTGTATGTTACTTGTCTCTGCAAGAAACATGGGACTTTTTTGTTTTGTTTCATTTTCTGATGGACTTCAAACAAGATAAAGTAGCGTTGTTGCCAGCACTGTAACCACTTAGCTCCTAACCTGACATTTCTTTGAAAACTCAGTTGCTGACCATGATTTGCCAAGTGGTACTTCTTAAATACCTCCAGCAAGTGGTACTTTGGATTTTCTCCAAAGTATCTTTTTACAAATTTTGAAGTTTGCCTTCCATTTGCGAAAGTGCCGCTGTGACTAATAACAAACTGTAAGACTGGAATTACGTAGAAGATATATAGAACAGGTAAAATTAGTTATTTAAAGCGTGGGCTAGATGGAGAGTGTGAAATGGGGTGATCAGCTCACTTCTCAGCCTGTTTTACTTTGCCTAGCGTTTCAGATGAGGCCAGCAGCCTTTGCTCGTTTGAGCGGGGTTACGCGGTTGTGTGGTTAGACTGCATCGTAAAAGGAAGGCTCGGGGTTTTCACATTGAGCTGTTGCAGCCTTTACATGGTCACCAGATGCAGATAGGAGTGTACAACTCCAAATGTAAGTTGAACTTTACACAAGCTGTGGATATTTTACAAAATTTATATCATAGTGTTTCACAGGGCACCTGTCATGGACAAAGCATTAGAGAAATATAAGCGCTATCTGTTGTTATATCCTACAGTTTACAATTGTTGCATGAAAGGCAGTAGATTATTAAGACAAGTACATGGAGATTGTGGCAACAGCAAGACATTATTGATCAGTGTAATGTGGAGTGATTTCAGCAAGCCAGTTGCCAGACCTTGTATGTATGGCAGGAGTGGCAGCAGTACAGTTTCATGAATGATTAAAAGAAATTCCTTTTAAGCATAAAGGCAGGTGGGGAGCAGCTTGAGAAGATGATGAAGGTGCTTTTCTGAAATGGTAACCACATCTTGCATCACTGGTGGGCCAGAGATACCTCTTGACATCCTCACAACACATGAAAGATGCTACAGGAGCATGGACTGTGGGAGGCCTTGAAGTGGGGACAAATAGTTTGTCTGATATAATGAGGGAAGTGAAGGCATTTGAAAGAACAGGATGCATGGTCAGATAAGGAGATCCTTATGGCAGAAATTTGAATGTAGATCGGAGGTGGTATCATTTGTCAAGATGAAAAGGAGAGGATGTTGTAGCCCTGTTGATATTAGCGTAATAGAAGAAAGAATTAAGTGGAGGTGCATTTTGTTAGGGAATTGTACATGTGGCGTGAATAAGAAGATGTACAAGGAAAGGGGTAACTTGAACATAATATCCAGATAATTGCTGTGAATGACAGGGAGAATGGTGTTATTTTTTTCACAGTGACAGGGAAGGAGCCTGTATTTAGAGAAGAAAGGAGTTAACATTTTCAGATTGACTTTTATACTGAAAGATTGAGCAGTTTGTAATTATGTTGCTAACCTTGTGAAAAATGACTAAAAAGAAAAAATTACAAAGTACCTGAAAGTCATCTTGACTTAGTGTCCTTACATCTCGTCATTTTGTTATAGGACTTAAAAATGTGGAAAGTTCTGTTCATAAAACTGAACATAAGTGATGTTTCATTTTTAGAGAGACTGCTGCTATTTTGGCTATCATACTCTGCCAAAGTGCAATACGGTCTCTGAGAATTTCACTTCTGCCACTTGTGATTCTCTCTGTAGGCTGGATGCATCACACCGTGGATCAGCTTGGAGACAAGGCAACCAAGGAAAGCTATGCTATACAGTATCTTCAGAAATCTCTAGAAGCAGATCCTAATTCTGGCCAATCTTGGTATTTTCTTGGAAGGTGAGAACTGACTTTATAGATGCTGTAACTATGTTTGTATTTGAAGTGGGGGGTGTTCTTATGTTCTTTGTTTATAATTAAGATTCTTTTGGGGAAGCTGTGGCAGATGGCCCTGCTTTTCTAGTTAGTCTGCACGATTACACTAATCTAAGGCTGCCTGTTCTTCTGTCTTTCTTATATTCTCCCTTATGCCTTCCTCATAATACCACAACTTTTCTTCTTTTGGGTAAATAGGCTGTAGAATGCTTTTCTTTGTAGTTTTTATTATTCTTAATCTTTTTTTTTTCCCATCAAAACCTACCTTTTGGTCTTAATCAAATTTTGTACTACTTGTACTCAAAAAATACTTTTTTTTGAGGTATATATTCTATAAACACAATATATCACAGCTAGGATTTATTCCCAAAAAACTCAGATGGATCTGCTCTAGTCTGTACTTGTGTTGTATTAATTGTTTACTAGCAGACACTACTTTTCACTTCAAAATATTTTTTTTTGTCCAAGTTGTAGATATTATTAGTTTTATGACTTTGATTTGATTTCTTGTTCTTCTTTTAAAGAAATAGTTTAGAGCATCTTATCAAGAGTTATCTTATCAATAACTCTTGAAATACTCAGATTTTTGCAGAATAGAGGTACAACTAATCTTCTATAAACTGGATTTTTTTTATGCAGGCAGTGTGAGTTCACATGTGAACAGGTCAGTTCTGTTAAGTGGAAATTATATATGAATTGCAAAAAGAAAAAGATATTGTAACCGTTGTATCTTCTAGCTGACTTGCTTAGAAGTTCAGATCTTATACAGCTGGACCATGTTTTCTCCTTGTCATCCTAATTATGTTCCTGCAACTGTTGCTTTAAGACAGGGCTCTTCACCCTGCAGCTGAGGGAAGCGCAGGCGGTGAATGCGAAGCCTAAAAGGCCAGAGTACAAGTGGAGAGAAAAAGAAAAAATGAGCCAGGGAATTCACTGGGCTAAAATCCTGTTTCTCCATCAATACTTAGTAGTGATACTCAGTAGTAGATATTACTAGGCAAACACCATTAGATTTTACTGTATTTCTTTCCTAGTGTGCCTTAATAACATGTGAGATTCTAGCATAGTTGGCATATTTGTTCCATCTTGGTCTCTATATTGTTTTTACTCTTCTGCCTTTTTTTTCTTGGCATTTTATTATAAAATATTTTCTGTTATATATATGTGTTTTGAAAGCTGTCAGTTTTTTTTTCCAGCGGGGGATCTTACTGCAAGCAATATAAAGAAAATAGCTATTGTAAATAAGTATTGTTGTTGTTCTTGGTATTATTTATTCAAATGTTTTTATTAAAAATATAGGCATTCCCTTCCCCTTTCCTTCTTGCAGACTTCTTTTGAATTCTTTTGAATTCTGATATTTCTGCTTAACATACCTTTGAGGGTGTAACATGTGCATAATATTCAAGTAAGAAATCCAGAAAAAAATCCAGAACAGCAAAATTTTTGCAAATTTTCATGTTCTCCAATTATAGCAGATCTAACTGGGTTGTTGTTCATTACTTTAAAATTTGTTTGAGATGCAAGAAATGCACATGAAAGGCTTTCCAGACAAACGAGGAGCGTTATGGTGGGATTATTTTCTCTGTAACAACTGAAACACTACACTTCTTGTAGAACATAAAGTTTCATAACAATTTGCTTCATGAAATAGGTAGCTTTGTTATTTATTTATAATGTTGTCTGTAAGTAAATATTATTAAATATTATCACAAATGTAACAAATGTAAATCTTCAAAATGTTGTATGACTTCTGTTTTCCTTACAAATGCAATACGCTAGCATTTAAACAGCGTTGGTGTGCTTCTCAAATAACTAATCAGGAATACATTTTGATTAAGAATTGTGTTGAGTCAGCTTGTGCCTGGCATTCAGAAACAGCAGATGTTTTGAATTCATCTAGATGAGTGTGTATTTGCATTAATGTCAGTCCACTCTTGGTGAGCCTTGCTCAGTGATCTCTTTCTCTAAATATTACCAAATTTTTTTTTTCTTTTTTCTCCCAGGTGCTATTCAAGTATTGGGAAAGTACAGGATGCCTTTATATCTTATAGGCAATCTATTGATAAATCAGAAGCAAGTGCAGATACATGGTGTTCTATAGGGTAAGAATGATACGGGGTAATACTATAGTTCATTACTTATAAATATTAATGAAGAATATCAGCCTTTAAATTCTTCTGTGTTCTCAAGTGGATTGTAAAGTTCACTTTTTAGCTTTCTATTGTCAGGCATGTCTGATTCGAAGTTAAAATATATTTCCTTTCTCAATATTTTAATATATCAAATATGCTATGTATATGAGCTTTGCGTGCTTAAGATAGTAAAAATGTGTTGTTCATGTTTATTATTCTGCTTTATGTAATGGCAAAGTTTATTACGGGTTTAGGGATGAATGTGTATATTTGCTTTCTTTGTGTTTTGACTTTGTTATTAATTTTCAACTCCACTAATCTTTCTATTCAGTGTGCTGTATCAACAGCAAAATCAGCCTATGGATGCTTTACAGGCCTATATCTGTGCTGTACAATTGGACCATGGCCATGCTGCAGCCTGGATGGACCTAGGCACACTCTATGAGTCCTGCAACCAGCCTCAGGATGCCATTAAATGCTACTTAAACGCAACTAGGAGCAAAAATTGTAGTAATACCTCTGCACTTGCAGCACGGATAAAGTATTTACAGGTAAAACTAACATTTTAAGAAAAGGGAAATACTCTTCCAAGTACACAGGAGAGGGGAGGGGAAAAGTAACACACAACGTTAATTTAAAATTGTTTGTGGTGTGTATAACTTGTTTTCATGTGTATTGTAAGCATATCATAGCTTGTAGTATTTTATTTCTTCATTTTTAAGTGGAACTTAATTCCTTACAAGTAATGCTATTTTGCACATTTAATCAATACATACTGTTTTACATCACTTTGCTTTTTTTCTTTGTATTGTCTACATTTTTTAAGTTCTCATAGCATATATAGAGAGAACACACACACACTATCTTTCACTCTTGTTTGCAATTTCAGAAAAAAAGAATTATGAGACCTCTGAATCCAGAGCTCGTCTTTGTTCTGATTCTCACAAAGGTTTATATTCTGGTTACCCTCTTTATACTTAGCACCTTTCTAAAACCCCAAATTTTAAATCTATCCTCTCTTTAAGACGTAATTAGCTACAGCATTTAGGAAGATTTCATGGACTTGCTCTTACTAAAGTAGGCTTGTGTTAAATTTGCTTTTTACATAATTTTTCCTAGGCTCAGTTGTGTAACCTTCCACAAGGTAGTCTACAGAATAAAACTAAATTACTTCCTAGTATTGAGGAGGCGTGGAGCCTACCAATCCCCGCAGAGCTTACCTCCAGGCAGGGTGCCATGAACACAGCACAGCAGGTGAGAAGTTGGGTTATGTTCTGCAGGTGCCCAGCTTTAAGGGTTCTTTAAAATCTATAGTGGTCAAGCTTATTTTATTGAGCGCAGGATTGGCTTTTGTTCATGAAAAGCCTTGGATTTATTTGCAAAGGGATACTAGATCAAGAAAAAGCTCCCTGTAATATGGGAGAAATATGGGGGTACCAATTTAGAACCTTTGTGGATTTTCATGATTATGAAAGATTTCATCTTAATAGAAATGCTACAGTGGTTTAATAATTCCATGAAAGGTACACATTCCTCCATTGATGACCATATGGAAACTGATTTTTCAGTTATTGAGATAAGCTTCAGTAAATCTGCACAGCCCTTTTAAAGTATGTGGGCTGTTAAAATATAGTTTAAAGAGAAGATTTAAGAATACATAGAACCATATTTTTGTCTTCCTTCTGTGATTCTTAGGCATGTAAACCTCATCATCCAAATACTGAACCTGTACTAGGCCTCACTCAAACACCAATTTCACAGCAATCCTTGCCACTACACATGATTCCTTCTAGCCAAGTAGATGACCTGACCAGTCCTGCCAAGAGGAAAAGAACATCTAGTCCAACGAAGGTATATATTCTGATGACCTAAAGAGCCCCCAGCCCAAATTTTATAGAAATATGCATTGCCATGATGCAGCATGCACAGAATTTGTGCGGTACATTTTAATCCTTTGGCATCAAGGTGGGGAATGTTTTTAGGAATTTTAGGAAACCTCTTTCAGTAACGTGTTTCATTAGGAGGTTACAATGCAGACAGGAGATTGGTGGCACTGTACTGTACCAACCTCTGAATAAGTACAATCATAGCGTGATGAAAGTTAGAGAAGGAAGCAACCATGTCATCATGTTTATTGCCTTTGCTTATATTTAGAATTCAAATGTTTCATCATCATGTAATAATGTTATGGTAGATACAAGTATTCAGTCTTAACAGTAGTGTACCTTTTAATTTAATCACTTACTTGATTAGTTGTCATGACGGTATTTAAATATCATTTACTTTTTCCTATAAATATAAGTACTCTGGTCCTGTATGGGAATAGTAGATTGAGGGTTGGACTTGTTTTCATATATTCTTTGTTTAAATTTTACTGAAACTGTGATTAGTGCTTTCATGAATAATTTAAAGTCTAAATTTTAGAAAAATTTATATTGACCCTTGGATATTCAAGCATTTTAATGTAATGTTTTATCTCAGAATACTTCAGATGTTTGGAGCAGTGGCCATACAGTGTCACATCCTCCTGTACAGCAACAAATTCATTCTTGGTGCTTGACACCACAGAAATTACAGGTAGGTATTTTAAGGATCTTTAGAAGCTTTAACTTGGTAGTGTAATACAGCTTATGCCAATGTTTGTAGCTTCTCTACGGAATATGATCAGTGGATTAGATAAAATTATTAAGAATCAACTGAGTTCCAATTCAAATAGTGATCTGTAGTAGAAACAGAATACTTTTATTTTACAGGTTCTATAGTTTTTAAAAGACTATGTAGTAATTATTTTCTTAAAAAAAAAATTAAAAATATGCTTATGCAAAATGCTGCATTCTTGTGTGCCAAGTAGAGTATGCTGCACAGTATAACATCAGGAAGTTTGAAAGAGATGTAGACCTATTGCAAGACCCTCTTTTTTAAGTAAGGTTTTTGAAGTGAGATAGCTTCTTTTATCAAATTGCCTAAATAATTTATACATTCTACAGAGCAAAACTACTTAAATGAAATGCAGTACTGCTTTTTTGTAGTTAAGATCATTTGCTATCTTTATGAGAAATGTTAGGTTTATTTTTAGTCTTATGGTCATTACGTTCTGTTGTCTCCTCAGTTTATTAGTGCTTACAATGAACTTAAGCAGGAATTTCAGATTTTGAAACTCAGGGCTAAGTGGACACCCTCAGCCATTTATCAAGGATACTAATAGGGATGCAAGGAAAGATAGAAGGGAATATAGCACCAAGAAAGACAGCACAGCGGTTGGCAGAGTAATATTCCCCTTGAACTCCAACACAACTCTTCAGCTCTTCTTCTATAGCTGAACAGTGTTGGCTTCCCTGCGCTGTATGTGTTTTTGTCTCTTCCCCTCCTCTCTCAGCACGCAAGCGGAGGATGGTGCTGCTTGCACAGAGCTGCTGGGCAGCAGCAACAGTGCTGCTCCAGAGCCTCTGCGCCCACAGCAGAGACTAGAGAGGAAAGCACGGCTGCCTCTGCTGTCAAATGTAGTACTTGGTCTTTCTACTTCTCATTACCCTGTTCAGACATGTTTAAGAGCAGAAGAGCACTGTTTGCAGCTTCTGTGCATGGGCGCAGCACACGTGCTGCCACAGAGTTCTTGCAGTCACCTCTCCATCGTTTACATGTCCGAATTAGTTTGACTCATAAAGTCCATCTCAGACAGAGTGCTCCTGAATGAAAGATAATATTCATCCAGGAATTGATTCTTTGTTCTTCCTCACCTTTGTACCATCAGCTGTCTTTCCCATTTTCAGATAAACTGATAGTTTGCAAGTACATATAATAAAAGCAGATTAAATTGCCCATTATTTAATACATAAACTGGAGCTTTTTTTTTAAATTTGTTTTCAAAAAAGAAATTTAAACAATGTACAATAATTCAGTATTTTATTCTCTCCTCCTTCTTGGACAATACTTTTGTTGTTCTACAGTTTTAACGTTTATGCCAGACCATTTAGAAACGATCTGACTGCGAGAATAATTGTGGGTGCCATGTAGTTTGAATATAGAGATCAGAATGTCAGTAATAAATGTTTTAATTATGAGTTGTAAATGAAGTCACTCTGCTATCTTAAGAAGTTGTTCTCCGTAATAAGTTGCATAGTTTTCTGGGTTTGCTTTTTGGTATTTTCCTGTGTGACAATAGCTTGAATTTACTTTGAACTTTAAAATACTAATGCAAGAACAGCACAATATAGAACTATTGATATTTACCTAATGATAAAGGAAATTATGTACATTCATACTTTAAGATACTTTGTCTTCGACCCTGCAGGCTTGCTTAATTTTAGTCTGGTTGTAGTATTACTTGTATGCTCAAATCATTTTGGAAGTCTTCCTAGTTGTATTAAGTAATAATAAGTTTTGGTTACAGCATAATGTATGGAAAGATGTTTAGTTCTGCAGCAGCAATCTTGATCATGGTTTTGGCTTTACGAGTCTTGCCTTTGCTGATAACTTTTTGTAATATACACAAGAAAGTGTTCAAAACTGCGTATAATTTTAATGATCCCGAACCGTACTGCTATTTTTTCAGCACTTGGAACAGCTGCGTGCAAACCGAAATAATCTAAATCCAGCACAGAAACTTATGCTGGAACAGCTGGAGAGTCAGTTTGTCTTGATGCAGCAACACCAGCAGGTGAGAGTAAAAATATTTTTCTATTCTACCAAACTTTCGTCAGTGATGGTGTCTTGCTTCTTGAATGCTCTAAAATGCCTTATACTGCATTGTCATCATTTTGAAATGTTACATAATGTTTAATTGTGGCTTGCTGGTTGAAACTTAACGTCTTTAGCTTTGTTTATTATAGGACTACCAGATAATGTAATTTTTTTTTTTAAGTTGCACTTTCAAATTAAAATGAGCGGACACATCTAAAAGTAGTCATACTTAAAAAATACTTACTTGTGGTAAGTCATCTTACAGCGTTTCCCTCCTGCTCTCACTGTTCACTTCTCTCTCTCTTAGTGCGCAGCTTTAGCACTAAGACGCTAATGCTCAGGCTGAAGAGCCTAGCAGTGTGCCAATAACTTTACCTTAAAAATCACTGGGCGCCATTTGTGTGCTTGATAGTCATCTTACCTCTCAGAGGCAGTGGGAAAGGTCCTAAAATCTCTATAAAATTGAAATTAAGCAGCAGAATAAAGCTAAAAAGCTTCTGTAGCCCTTGCTTGTTAACCTTTGTAACGAATGTCCTTGTGCTTTGTTCGTCTTCCGTCAGATGAGACAAACAGGAGTTGCACAGGTACGATCTACTGGAATTCCTAATGGGCCAACAGCTGACTCATCACTGCCTACAAACTCTGTCTCTGGTCAGCAGCCGCAGGTTGCTCTAACCAGAGTGCCTAACGTCGCTCAGCGCGGAATCCGTCCCGCCTGCCCTGGGCAGCCTCTGGCTAATGGACCCTTTCCAGCAGGCGCCGTTCCCTGCAGCACAGCCAGAACGCTGGGTAGTACAGACACTATTTTGATAGGCAATAATCACATAACAGAAAGTGGAAGTAATGGAAACGTGCCTTACCTGCAGCGAAACGCACTCTCTCTACCTCATAACCGCACAAACCTGACCAGCAGCGCAGAGGAGCCGTGGAAAAACCAACTATCCAACTCCACTCAGGTACACGGTTTTGGCTTACTAAGATGGTACACGAGGAAGAGCTTTAGTAACCAAGTCACCCCTTAAAGTCTCTCGTTTGTAAAAGCATGTTCTCTGTTTGAAATAGTTAATGCTGTAAGGAGTAAATAATAAAACCTATAGTAGGCCAAAACTGCCCCCTGTATTCTGCTGTGAACATACATAAATTAACAATTTGCAGGATAAAGGAAATGTTCATTAATCAAGAGGGCAGTTGCATGCTGCTTAGCTGCCTAACCTTTCAGAAAACTTTCTTTAAAGAGCAGTAATATTTGTATGTCTATTTTCATTCTTTCAATGTGAAACATCATGACATAGTGTAGCAAGAATGTGTGTGTTTCCTAAGAAGCTGAATGCCGTAGCCATTTATGACATTATGTTGCCATATAGTGTAATCATTGCACGTACTTACTTTCTGTATAATCTTTAAAAATTACTATCTAGCAATTAGTCTCTCCTAGAGTTATTTGCAGGAAAATACTATAACTTCCTGTTGGTACAAAACATGGTGGTTAAGTGGTTAAAGTTCCTAAATAAGGGGGGTTTGTGTGTTGGAACTTGAAGGTGAGCTGGCTCGCTCACTCTTTTTTTTTTTT